ATAACTACCTTCCTGTTTGTTATTTTTAAAGCTAAAATGCCAAAAGAAATACAGGTTATGGTTTCTCAAACGTGAATGTTTGATGGCTTAAATTGAATATTATTGAGTTTTGAACTGTCAAATGAGCTAATTTAATGGGCAACTTGTGGTTTTTTGGGACTTTTTTTTCATTATTTTCTTTCACTTTATAGACCGAAAATAATCAGCAAAAGAATCAGTAATGAAACTAAATGTTAGTTTCAGATCACAGTAGGTGAGCAGATGAGTAAGAAGATGAAAGAGGACGGAGGGAATTCTTACTTTCCCACCAACAACAAACACTGCATATTAACAACATTGATGTTTTAATGACCTTTGACCTAATACAGCAGATGGAAGCACATCAACGAGAGATCACACGAGGAGAGAAGGGCCTCTGAAGCGTGTAAAGGCGTGAACTTGACCTCCCGTAAGGTGCAAGCAGCTGAACTGTGACCTAACAACTGGTTAACACAGGTAACAAACATATTACTGCATATGTTTTCTGTTTTCCCACCAGATATAGCAACCATGTGTTTCCTTAAATGTACATCACTTGTACATCTTTCTCTTTTTTTTCCGCCCTCCATTTTGAGGTTGTTTTGGACGAGTGCAGATAACCAATGCTCAGAGCGCACATAAACACTGCAGCCTATACTTTAACATGTCACTGAAGCCTATACTTCAGCTCAACCCTATACCTCAACACCCCCCCACCCCCGAGCACTGTTGTGTGTGTGTGTGTGTGAGCGGAGACGGGATGCTCCAGCGGCCACGTCATGTTTAAAGCTTCAGCGTCCGTGACGAAGCCGCCGTAAAGGCCTGACATAAACTTCTGATCTCATCTGACGTACTGTTGTTGCATATGGACTGGAGGGTTGTTGCGTATGGAATTTTGTCCTAATGAGAGAACGCTGTTTTTAGCCACGTCAGCAGGGACTCAGTTCATGGATTGCCTTAAAATTTGGTTCAGACATTGATGTTCTCCAGCGGATGAACCCTAATGACTTCTGTGATCCTGTGACTTTTCCCACTAGCGCCACCATGAGGTAACCCTAATCCTGCTTAATAAGCTAAACCAAGGTGGTTAAGACAGTAAACATTACAGCTGCTTAACATCGGCTTGTTAGCATGGCTGTAGACTCTGGTTCCAACTTATCAGTCTGCTTTACAGACGTACGACATTTTAAACCTGTTCCGAATCACAAACACGTGATAAAATGACATCTTGCACCACTAAAGACCATCTTCAGCTTCAGGCTCTTTTTCCAACTGTTTTTAGAGAAAATGTACATAACGTGGTGGATTTACATGAGCGTTATATGTATGTGGTGACCAAAACCGGACGTCTCCTCGTACCTCAGACACAGTGGTGATGCTGTTAACTTAATTATTACACTCTCATTATTGTATTAAGCCAAACACAATATGCTCAGATTTAGTGGCCGATAGATCTTTTCCCTTTCTGCTTCATTGTTATTGGATTTTTCTTTTTCTTTTTTCTGTAATATATCTAGAAATCTATAGAGAGCTCCCGTTTCTGCACACAGGATGTATTTCTGCTTTCTGACCCTGGGTGCAAACTGAATTAGTCGAAAAAGGCTTTCATGTTCTCGGCTGCTTCTGTGCATGAAACTCACTGCAAAATGACTTCACAGCAGAGGAGCTTGTCTTCCTCTGTGAGTTTAAAACCATAATGGGGGGGGGTGTTGAACCGGGCTCAGTAAGAGGCTGCCTGCCTGAGCTTTGTACACTGAAGATGTAGTTTGGTTTAGACCTTATAAAATACGTTATTATTTAAAATATTTCATCGCTTTTACAAACTGATTGTATTTACATTTTAAAAAACAGCTGATTTTATGCATTAATTAGTAAATGTCTTTAGAGTTAATGTGCAAGGGCCGTGACTTTTACTTTCCTACTTTCAATTAGAAACTCAATGAAATGTTTAAGGCAATTAAATTGCTGATGGCAAGCATATCAACAATTAATGACCAGTTATAAAGGGATAATTACTGTATCGGCACTGCAGCAACGACTGAACTGCAAAGCCTGAATTAGCTTCTTTAATGTTTGATTTTTGAGTTGATCCATGTTATCGATTAATCGGAGTAATGATTATCTTTTCAATATATTGTTTGCTTCATAAAACACCCGAAAAGTGTGTTAAATGTCCATCAAATTTCCTTTAGCCCAAGATAATTTCTTAAAAATAGCCTTTTTTGATTGGCCGACAGTCTAAAACCCCAGAATATTCCATACACTATAATGTAAGACAAGGAAAAGGCAGGATATTCTCATATCAGAGGAGCTGGAAGCATCAAATATTGGAATTCTTGCTTCAAAAACACCTAGAACCGATTAATTTCTTCAAAATAGTCGACTTATCGAGGAATCATTTCAGCTGTAGACACTTTTATGATTGTTCTGGTGTTGAACTGCCTGCGGCGTAGACTGTACTTGGAGCAGCAGCACCCTTATTTTTATTTCCTCTGCGTTGGTATAGTCCACCTCACAGCTCAATATCATCACCAACAACTTTAATATTGGCGACAACTTGTGGGAGGAGTGGAGGGGGTGGTGGGGGATAAAGTAGCCCTCAAGTCTAAATAGGAGAAGCTGCGATATATTTGCTCTGGTGGAGATAAAAATGGCTTCCTTTATCTGTGCGCTGATTAACAGTGAGGGTTTGTTGTGGAGGACGAGGGTCCACAGCCAATGTGTGCCAATTCATTTCCTCAAGGTCTGCTGCGAGAAAACCTCCCTCCTCTGGTACGGCCCACACATGGGGAGATTACATCTTTTATTTATCACTTCTTGGCTCTATTTTTCCAGCAAATTCCAGGCTGGGGTGCAATCAGCCAAGAAAGAAACCCTCCCTGTGTGTGTGTGTGTGTGTGTGTGTGTGTGCGCACTACTGTTATTCCTCTTTGTAAGCATGCAGATCGAGCCCCCTCTCTCTGGCATAACCGCCCCGGATTCTGTTTCCTCCCTGCAGAAACATTTCCCAATATCTGGGAATATATAGGCTTCTCATCTTGGCAGGACAGAGGCTGGTGTGTTGTGAGTGTGTGAGTGTGTGTGTATTCCCTGTGGACCTTCACAAAAGCCCACATGAACCTCCTGCATTTAAAAGTAGGAGGTGGTAGTGGTGGAGGGGGAGAGAAGAGAAGAGGGGCAGGTCATGCAGAAACTCAAGTGTTCAGATTGCATTACAATTCAAATTAACCATGCAGAGTAATGGGATTACAGCGCTCCCTGAGAAGGTGTCCCTGAGCCTGCCCACGGTGAACTCACAGGTGACAGACGCTTGCAACACAATCAAAGGCTCCGGGGGGCCGCGACCGTGTCATGATAAAGGCTCGTAAAAACTAAAAGTCTTCATTAAAGCGAGCTATCTCTTCACCTCCAAACACACCGCGTCCGCTACCCTCACGGCCTGGAGAGAGCTCGCCGTCGTCTCCTTTTTCGATTACAAATACACACACACACACACAAAGACGTGAACCTGAACCAATTGGCTTCGGACTGGTGTGTGTGTGTGTGTGTGTGTGTGTGGATCGTGCTCAATACGCTTCCTCCTTCCCAAAAAAATCTCTTCTACTTAACAAGGGGAGTGAAAAGATGCTTTTGTTTGCCCCCTTTTTCCTTTTTGGGAAGGCGACGGGGAAGCTTGAAAAGACACAAATGAACATGAAAATAGGAACAAAGTGACAAACTCACAATGGAGGGGAATGCTGGGTATTTGATATGTGTGCTGGGTAATTAAAATCTCAAAAGGAGGAGCCATGCCAAGCCAATAGCAGGAGGGGGGGGGAAATTGCAACCAAATGACACAAAAATCTAACGTTAGGTGGAGGAAAAAGTTGTCATGCACAAGCACAGCTGTCAGCTCAGCACACATGTGTCTGTTCCTGTTTCACATCGCCTTTCAGACATACGGTAACTCGCGATGGGTCTATTCTCGTTTCTCTCTCTTTGACACATGGAAAAGAGAGCGCACTTAACTTCTGTAATGGTTATTCTGCCCTAAAAACAACATACCACAGCTCTAAATGTGCAGCGACAACAATGTCAGGCTGCATATTTGACTGCTTTCCAACTCCACATTCATCAACTTCTCCCTGTCTGCTGATCAAAAGACACACAATGTGTGCGCACACACACACACACACAGCATCTCTGTGTGAACAACTCATTCAAATGTAATGTGTGTCAGTTGAGACCCAACCCAACACTGAGCACTTCCCTTATTACTCAATAGTTTTATGTAATCGTTTAAAAAGTCATTTTAAAAGGCCAGGCTGTGTGTGTTTTTTCTTGTGTGTGGCAAAAACTATTACCTAACATGACACATCTAGTAAGAAATTGTGAAATTAAATATAAAAAATGAGCTTTAATGCCTCTAAATGCTTTTCTAACTCGCGTCGGCTTATTAATTCTATATATTATGGGGATTAAAGACATATAAAGCTCTTTTTTTAAGCCCCTTTTGTCTCAAAGCATCTTTAAAAAACATCTTTTAAGACTTTTTAAATGTCTTTTTAACCTAACTCATCAGTAAGTACACAGTCATCTTTATTCTGTGGAAGTTTCTCAATGAGCTCTGCTTGCTGTTGAGATGTGGAAATTTGGGGATTCCTCTTTGTTAAAGCCACAGCTTGATTTTTTTTTTTTTTTTTTTTCCCTTAACGCAATTAAGAGGGATTTTTTGAGGCTTTGTACCCCCTACATTTCACATTCAAACTGCCCCCAAGCAAAACAGGATTTAAATGCCCCAGTCACACATTCCCATTCATGCACCCCAGCAGATTTAAAAGCCCCCATTGTAGCCTCTCCGACCCTTTGTTGTCTGTCACTTTATCCGCACACAAAACTCGACTTATTCGGGTTAAAAAAAGATAAAAAATCCTCCATTACCAGCTTTTAGTTTTTAGTACATTTTTTTTGTGTTTCCTCGACGTCCCATCACATCAACTCACCGACTTGCAGTACGTTGTCCACGCAGCCGCTCTCCAGCAGAGCGATGCCCCGTCGGAACGGCAGCCGGGTCTCGTCGCCGCTGTCCCCGCCGCCTCCTCCTCCTCCTCCACCACCACCACCGCCGCCGCCGCTTCCGACCTCCTCCCCGCCGGTGTTAAACGACGAATACATGCAGATCTCCCGCTCGCTCCTCGGGAACGACCAATAAACGATCCGCCGCTGAACGGGCTCCGGGATCCGCTCGAACCGCTCCTCGACCCTCTGAAACGGCCACTTCTCCGCGACTTTCCTCGCCGCGATGTCCAGGAGAGTCTCCGGGTTCTGGGTCTTGCTCGATTCGCCCTGGGTGGACGTCGAGCCGCCGCACGGCGCCCCCGCGGCCCGCTGGCCTTGCCTACACGTCGAGTTGTAGCCCGGCCGACAGCAGAGCCGCTTGGCCGGGGGCTGCTGTACGCGCTCCGCCATGATAGCTCCGCTTTAACGGCGACGGAGGAAGTCAACGCACCATATGAACGGGATAGGGAAGGGAAAAGGTTACCCACGGGTTTTGATTGTTGGCCGTGTATGGCCAAATCATCCTTTTAAGGAAACATGGAGGCGGAGCTTCTGCGAGCTTGTCAAACCCCTTTGTTGACAAATGAAGAGGGAGGCGGGGTCCGCTGGTTGGCTCCCCGCTAAATAAGGACCGGAGGGCGGAGGAATTCCCTGCACGGCCGCTACTAATCCTTTGTGAACCACAGTGAAAAAAAAAAAAAAAAAAAGCTTTTTAAAAGAATAAAGATAAAAATGGAGGGTGTAGTTGTCTGTCTTTCTCTCGCTTCTTTTTTTTTCAAGCTGTGTTTTTTTTTGTTACAGAAGAGCCAGGGTGAGCGAGCTGCTTTTGTCCCCGGCGGTGAGGTAGAGAGAGTCGGATTGAATATGGGCGGTGATCGGCCTGTCAACACTGGAGCCTCGTGGTTTGGGGGGAGGGGGCAAGTGAACGCAGCACCGCCTCTTCCTCCCCCCACCATGACGTTTAAAGGGTCCACAGGAATGTGTTAAAGGAAACACAACTCATTAATGGAAATATAGTAGTGCAGTGGTTCTTGAAACTTTATTTAATAATGTACCTTTCTTTTAAATATTTATATATATTAGATATACTGAAATGAAACAAATAAATACAATAGTACAAAGCAGAATGGCCCCATGTGTGTAATATCATATCTATATTATATAATAAGATTATTATTACTCATAATGTAATATTTTAAGGTTGAACATTTTAATTTTTAACTAGTTTATATAGGTTTACTGTTAAGATAAGATAAGAAGTTCCTTTATTGATCCCCCGTATAGGGAATGTAGTGCAAAGAAGAAGAGGAAAATACAATAAAATATAATAAAATACAATATAATATGAAATATATACACTATATATATAACAAAGCAGAATGTGGTAAGCTTTTTGGGTAGTTATATAATAATGCATTACTGTATCTGATCATATGTTTTGTGTATAAGGTTGGATGTAAATTATAGTTGTTAAATAACTCTAGAAAGAGTAAAAAGCACCAGTATTCCCTCTCAAAAATAGGCTAATGTACTATAAGAAGTAGCAGAAACATTTAAATAAGCTCCTAAAGTACCTCGCAATTGTACTTAAGCACAGTAACTGCATACTTAAGATAAGATAAGAGAAGATAAGATGTTCTTTTATTGGTCCCCGTGGGAGAAATTCCAGTCTGACACAGCAGCACAGAGGAAAAAGTACAATAAAGATATAATAAAATAAAGATATAATAGAAAATATAAAGGCTATAATGATAATATATACACTTTATGCCGGAAGGAACTGGTAGAGTTGTGTCTATCAGGTTAAAGTTAAACACTTGTTCAGTCTCTGATAACAAAGCACACATTGTATAAGAAGGACTATAAATTGTTTCTGATTACTTCTACATGAACGTTCTCAAGCCAACTGGACAGAGTTCAATGGTCATGTTGTTTTTGCCCTGTCCCCCCCCCGCCCGCCCCCCGGGGCCCCAACTGCTGGATTTCTGTTTAATCAGCTGGTTAATTGCGTTCACCTGTAAACGAGCCTCTGAGCAGAAGCCTACAATCCTGTAACTATATGACTTTAAGTGACTGGAAATAGGGGGAAAACAGAGCCATGCTAGCTGTTTCCCTCCACTTCCAGTCTTTGTGCTAAGCTAAGCTAACTAGTGGGTTTTTAGAGCAGCTGAAGACGGCGATCCACAGCTGGAAACTGGGTTGATGAGAGACTGAAACTCGCAGTTAAATGAGGCTAAAAAGCTCCACGGAGCTGCAGAGCTGGGCGATGATTCTCTGTGGGTTCGTTCACATTACATGAAGTTGTTTAATTTAGTGTTAATATGAGAAATATTGATTAATGGAGCTTCAAGAAGAGAGGAGCTAATCTGGTCTCCCCGGTGCTTCGTAGCCGGAGGGAAAGCTAAATTGAAAAATGTGACGTAGGCAGTCAAAACACATTTTGGACAGTGAACGTGGTGCGATTTGGTTCAACACATGCAGAGGGTGAATTATTGAGGGGTCCACGAGCCGAAACAGGGGCCCAAAACCACGTCAGGAATCACAGGTTAGGTGCTCGGCTGCCTCTGAGGTTAGCAGTGCTGCTGTAAGTACATTTATTTAAGTATTTAAGTACAAATTTGAGATACTTGTTGTACTTTTTCTCTTCTTTTCATGTTACTTACTACCTCTGCTTCACTAAGTTTATTTAACAGCTTTAGTGACTTTAAAAATTAAGATTTTGCACATAAAACACAATAAGATCTTATGGAATATGATGTTTTTCTTATAAATAAAACTACCAGTTTATACACTGTAAAAAATGTTAAACTAAAAACTTTTATCTTCAATTTTGTGAAATTAAAATCTCTATTTCAAAAATTGTTCAGAACACTCATTAAAGTTAAAAAACAGTTTATTAATTTAATATTTTCAATTGCAACTATTTATAATGATGAAAATCTATTTTGAAATACAGAATTTTTTGTTTCCAAATCTCAAACAATTAAGTTTTTCTAAAGAAGGAAGGTAAATTACAGAAACAAAAGATTATAAGTCGGCAGAATCTTTATTTAAAATACTCAAGTTTGACTTAAAACTTAAAATATTAGTTCAAGTTTTAAAGTACCAATGAACACGATAAGTCGATTGACAGAAAATTGATTGGCATTTATTTAAAATAACTTTTTACGTCATTTTTGATGCAAAAACTTGGTTTCAGCTTCTCAAATGTGAAGATTTGCTGCTATTTCTTTTAAATTCTTTTAATTTATTTGTAATAATTTTGAGGTTTGGACTGTTGGTTTGTCACTTTGGGCTCAACTGAAACAATCAATCGATTAATGGAGAAAATAATCAGCAGATTAATCGGTAATGAAAATATTATTTAGTTGCAGTCTGATACAAAATCAAGCGGTTTGGATCAATTCTGAGCAGATTATTTCCTGTGAATATTGATCAGAGATGAGTTTTCCTGATATTTTTAGTCTGTGTTATGTTTTTGTTTTGTTTTTAACAATCAAACAGACTTAACCTGCTTCTTTTTTTTTGACAAATTCAGTGTTTTCTTCTCATCGTTCTTTCAGCTCTTTGGTTGTTATCTAACGCAGGACGAGTGAAAGCTCTGTGAATATAACTTGTGTTCAGGACTTTAAAGTTGAAATCTTAAAATAACAATTAAATTTAGTTTGTTTTAACGGTAATGAAGGAAATGCTGTTAAATTGGCCTACTGTGTATATATTTAAAGTTTTATTATAAGAAGGCTCCGAGGTTGGGAACCACTGTCACATCCAACAGTCACAGGGGACATTTATTGAGTACTTTTACTTTTAATACTTTAAGTAATGTACATCTTCTCTTCTTATACTTACATACTTTTATTTAAGTAACATTTGTAATATATAGGACTTAATATTTCTTGTGTGTGTGAGTTGGGGATACTAAAATAGCTGAAATACGAACCTCTATTTCTTCTGACATCTGCAGAAGAAAACTTTATTTCAAACAGTAACACGTGTGATATTTTGACAGGAACAGAAAAAAAACACTCAGCCACAGATGATATCTCCTTTTGATCAGCACCCTGGGAACATTTCAGACATTATTTTAAACAGTTTTATTGATGCATAAAACACTGTTTGTCACTGTAATGAGTTTATCTGTCTTTTTTTTTTCTCTCCTCCTTCCCATTTCTTTCCCAGTTACAGTACCACCTGCTGCTCCTGCAGGACAGAGTTATCAGCAGCCTCATTTCAGCACACTCGCTCCATGCTGTGTAAATGATTTAGGCCCCCTGGTTGAAAATCTTTACTATTGTCTCATTTTACCCTGCAGACAGCGCAGTTGAAGCGCAGTAATGACTGAGCCTATTCACTCAGCATGGTGGTAACAGCAGGTGGGCTGAGGGAGGAAGACAAGCAGCGCAGGCACACAGTCTTGAATAAGATACCTGCTTACAACTGAGGTTTTTTTTTTTTTTACACATTTCTCCTTTCACTGTACATTACATTTAAATTTCATTATGTTAATAAGGTTCTTATCTTTTCTTTGTTGAGAGTACAAACATTTAATCAAGACACCTCATTAATTCTACAATGCTGCGACTGCTGTTTTCATTGTCTAAGCTAAGACTGCAGCGTCGGTCCGTCAGTCCACCGTGTTCTCACTCCCAGCTCGTCAAATATCGCAGCAGGGTTGGGGGGGTTACTTTAAAAATGTAATCCCAGGAGCATCTCACCTGGTAGAGCTGGGGCTCCATGGACCAAAGCTGAGTCCTTGCTGCGGCGGTCATAGGTTCGACTCCGACCTGTGACCCTTTTCCCCCTCTCTCTCCCCCATATCACAAAATTAATATATATATAAAAAAGTAATTTCCTGTTAAGAAATATAGTCCTATTTCAAGTATCACAACACCTCAACACCAAATATGTAAATAAAACCACGTCAGCAAGAAGCATTGATGCAAGTGCATTCAACAACACACACAATAAAGTTAGGATAACATATAAAGTGAAATAAAACTATGCAGTTGCTTCAATAAATGAACGACATCCTGGTGTTTGGTTCCTTCCTGGAGTTCAATTAGTCAGTGAATTCACGAGAAAGCATTTACTCATTTCCGGTTTATGTAACCTGAAGACTTTAAAACATTAAGTAGGAGGTGATTGAATGATTCTGTCACCGTCTATCACAGGCGAACTTCAACCAATCAGATCAATGAACTATATAACACTTACCAAAAGTCAGAGCGAAAACATCTTTTCTTCCTTCCAGTTCTGATATAACTGATGTTAGCAGCATTTACGCTAACCCCTTTAGCAGCCCCCATTGTTGTTTTTCAATGAACAGTCGGTTCTCGCTGCGTCACACTTCCTCATCGGACGCTGACTGGTCTAAACGAGTAGTTCCCAACCTGGTGGTCGAGACGCCCAACTAGGGCTCGCCAAAGCTTCATAAGG